CAGAATATTACGGCCATCAGATATAGAGCCGCAAATTATGAAGTCATTGGTAATCTTTTATTTTATGCAAAAACTACTTTTCTTTTCTCCATTGGCGCGACAGCCGGTCCGCTAAAGGGAGGTGCTTGACGTCCTGTTTAAGTCCCGTCCACGACTATAATCACTTTTTAGCGCCTAAATCAAGCTCCCCAAAGTTTATCTTTGCAAGGGAAAGCGAGATGCAAATACTTCTAATCAAAATGACGAGCTCAGACCGGTTATCACAGCTAGTTTAAGGTTAAGCATTTTGTCCGAATTACATAATTCTCCTTTTTCTGTCCACCGGGGAATAAGGAAAACAGTGGAATGAGTTCGCAAGGCGGTACACTTTTCGCGGTTGCAAAAATTTGTAAGTACGTATTTCAGGTCGTGCCGTACTTGTCACCTAAATAATGATGTTAATTACAGCGCGACCGGGTATCTAAATAAAATAAAGGCTACGTTTCCAAATTAATTAGTCAGAATACACTTATTAGGCTCATACACACGTGACAGTTTAGACTAAAATAGCTCGACTAAAACAGTTTAAGATTTTTCTTAAATAAGCATATTTTAAAATTCGGAGCTCCATTAAAAGTAACTTCGGATAATAGGAAACAGTTTATTAGTCAAATATTTGAGGGACTATGCGCAAGGCTTGGCATATGTCATTAAAAAAGTAATGCCTTATCGGCAACAGTCAAACATGGCAGAGCGGGTCAATAAGAACATAGTTAAAATAACTTTAACATTGCTGTGCCAGAAAATATCATAAGCGCTCGGAAAGTGGGGTCAATAAGTTAGCATTTGCCTCAAGGTCAGTTAAAGACTTCCCGACAAGAAAGACTCCAGCAGAATTCTTCTTAGGCAGAAAATTAATTACGCCGCCGGATTAATTATTCTTTGTTTGAAAGATAGCAGAGTTTAGCATGCTAGATATGCAGAAAAAAATAGATAAAGAAATTCAGATATGGTAAGAGAAAAGCAAAAATTATGTTATGAAAGGAAAAGGCGAGAAGTGAATAACAAGGGAGATGAAGTTTTACCGTTAAAGCATTTATTATCATGTAGTGGGAAAGACAGAGTGGTAAAGTTTTGTCCTCGATTTCAAAGACTTGAAAAAAATTCGAGAGACGGTAATTTACTTAAATGATAGATACCCCATCAACAGAGATGGGGAACAGATAGTAGCGAGTGTACATCAAATCAAGCCATATTTTGGTAGAAATTAAATGAAAATATTTAAAGATGTTTTACCGGAAGTGCGACAAGAAAAGTCAGAGATAGCCATGAACAACGGCAGAGCACCAATGACATCCGAAATCCACTTCCCGACAGAAAAAGATGGGGAATCACTACCACGGATGAAAAGCTAAAAACAAGAACGAAACCAGAAACGAGAAGGAACAAGACACCAAGAAAGCAGGCAAAGGGGTGTGTGTGTGTGTGATTATGGCAAAGCCTCGAGGGCTATCTGCCTAAAGGGATGGATGCCTTCGTGGAGGACTTTTTAAGGAAAGCTGGCTCGTATACACGTTCCACATGGGGAAATCCACGAAAACTCCCATGCAGCCAGCCCGTTCGCGGGATTCGAACCTCGGACCGAACTACCAGTGTTCAGCGACTTTACCGCTCGACCACTGGTGGGCGGTGACTTTCTAAGGGAAACTGGCTCGTATACACGTTACACATGGGGAAAACCACGAAAACGCCCATGCAGCCAGCCCGTTCGCGGGATTCGAACCTCGGACGGAACTACCAGTGTTCAGCGACTTTACCGCTCGGCCGCTGGTGGGTCCCCAAAGGCAAAGGAAAGAAGGTTTTGCAAACCTCCAAAGCATAATCAACGCTCGCTCAGATTGCGAGAAAAGGGTCAAACCACCTGTGCCCAAGCACATCGAGGGAAACGCACCGACGGTATGTTTATAACCATTTTTATGAAATCATCCAGATGGCCGGACATGAAAATTCCTGGCTTTTATGTAATGGAGTAAAGAATTATATTCAGAAATTAATGAGTTCAAGACGAGATAATGATGAAGGAATTAAGACTTCGAGTTTAATACCATCAATTTATCTTCCGATCTTTTAACCCGGATTCAATCTTTTTCTTCCTATGAGTTAATCATTTTATACTGCACGAATTCTACGATTCTGATAAACATTTCATCTTTTTTAAACATCGATATCAGGTATCAAAGAAACATCACAGGAACCGGCGCCTTAAGAAATTCCCGCATTCACGATAGCCCCATCTGTCCCTGCTTTAGGGTAAGTTTTTTTTCCCTTTTTTTTCTGCATAACACAAATACTATTAACAACAAAAAATTTACTTTTTTACTCTGGATGAATTTATGAAATTTATGGGCTTGAGCTAAAGAATATAAGAATATACAGCTTAAAAGAAGATCCAGCTATAGAATTCCAAACTGGCTCAATCTTTCACATCTCTTAATTTAGCTTCTAAGGGGTAGACTTATTCAGACAAAGCGCTAATAGGAATTATAGGATTTCCTTTCCGCCATTTTGAAACATGCTAATTTGACTTCAAAATCAAAAAATAAATTGAAAAGTAAGCTTAAGTAACAAACTCATGTCATGGGAAAGACGAAATGTATCCAACATTTTTTTAATAATTGTAGTACCGCTTATTTCAATTAACTAATTCAGAAGTTAAATCTAATTTTTTTTTCATTATAAGCTATTACATCATCTTTCATTTGTTTTAATGACACTAGAAGATATGTTAGCAAAGTGGTGAATGAAGGGATGTTTTTATAACCTTTACTTCGAATAATGGCAACGCTTCATCAATAATGGCTTCATTTGTTAGTTTCGGGAATTAATGAGAAAGTAATCTGCAGAAGCACGCATCGTTCACTTAGTAAAATGTTTTACTATCCTCATATATGGAAATATAAAAAAATGATTTAGAAGTTTAAAAGATTTTAAAAGATAATTCATTCAGATTTATATCTATTTTTATATACAAAGTGAGCCAAAAGTAAATACAAATTTCAGATTTACATTTAAAAAGAAAAGAAAAAGGGAAAAGATGCTGTCTTTATTAGAATGAAATATACTGCTTAAATGATACTTATGCATGATGGTGCACCAGCACCACAAATGACTTCCAGCAACTATTATTTTGACTGGAACATTTGCCTAAAAGAGATTTATCATTAGGCATTGAAAGATTTGGTGTCTTTCTTAAAGGGAAAATTTTAAAGTTTCTGACAGGCCCTTATGCATGATTAGAACTGAAAGATGCCTTTTCATCTGCTTCAAGGTCGATGCAGATCAACAGACCGTTTAGAGGGCTTTTACCTAATGAAACTTTTAATCATGTTTGGAGACTTTTGCCTCAAGTAGATGTGGCAGCTAGTTAGAAAATTTAAGTGCAAGGTACACCATCGAAAAATCTGCTGCAGTATCTGAATAATCGGAAAGATCAGAGCTCTTTGGCGTACAATCAGCCATTGTCGTAGTATGGCTAGGCACGAAGGAGAAAATCTGGTTTTCCTGTGAGTAACACTACTAGTAGGAAAATACATAGGCTATTAGTTCAGTCATTATGATGCTGCAAAGTTGCAAGCATTTTTGGTTGCATACGTTATATCATACACTGTGGTACAGATGCTGTTAAACACTTGCTCCTATAATAAACAAACTGCATGTACAGTTATTATTTTCATTTTCTTTTGAATGCCTTCAACAGTACCTATTCCAATTACCTCTTTATCCCGGGCAAATAGCGTAATTTCTCGTCAATATTATTTTGCACACAACACTTAAAAAAAAAAAAATTACTTTTAATGCATTATTAAAGGTTTTTGAAGACTTCTGGCTCATTCCATATTCTTGATTTTTTTCAAAAATCTGCCACAAACAATATATAATAAGTAAAGAAAATACACTCTTTTGAAGGGGGGGGGAACAAGCATCAAGGAAAAATAATTCGAATTACTTGAAATTTGGTATGCAAATTACACTTTTCCAAGTATGCAAATGAGCTTTCTCTATACCTGCAGAACTTCCATTTCATGATGCATGGTTAAGTTCAGATTACATTCATATCACCTTTTAAACTACCTTCGTTTACGAGCACAACATTGACAGTGTCGTTTGAAATGGTGCTGTGCCCACATATTGCTGTGACTAATTGTAATTTTATGTGGGCAAATATTACTGATAGTGCATTGTCTTCAATAATGAATCCCACTTTAGTTTTGAAGTAGACATACAGAGGAAGTCAGCGCAATACTCCTGAATAGATGTTATTATACAAAACCAAATGGCCAATACTTCTGATGAGATGGTGTCAGGTGCTATTTCCTATGATATCAGCTCAATCCTAGTAGTCATGTACTCAACTCTAACAGTGCAGCAGTAGGTTGAAAACATACCGAGACCAAGTATGTTCTCCTTAATGACATGTCACTCTGGAGTCATTTTTCAAGAAGATAATGCTTGTCTCATAAACCTGCACATCTGTCGAGTGTCTCTGCTGTTTAAACTCTTCCTTGGCCACCAACATCTTCAATGTATGGGACATGCTAAGCCACAATGTACAGGGACCACAGAATAATATATATATTTCTAGAAAAGAGCTGGAACAAAAACTGAGAAATGTTTCATAATTTCTATTCCCAAATGACATTAGGAAGCCTTCATTCCTTATCTTGCTCCATAGCAGCATGAAGTGCAGATAAAAGAAATTTCACAAATTACTAATTGTAGCATTTTAAATGCTAATTATCAAAGGTCATAGCATTATAATGAATGCTAGGACCCAATAATTTATTCCTAGCACTTTGGAAAGTAAAAATTCTCTTATCTATGTATGTGGTTTAGATAAGTTCAATTTCATTATAAATATATACTTCCTACAGTGCTTCATTTTCTTTTATTGGCAAGAGTGTATTTTTTTTTACTCGATCACTTATTTTACTCATTAGAAAGCATAAAATAAAAAATCATACCTTATAAAGTCCTGAACTGTTGTTTCCATGGATAAGTCAATAATGTCATTCACATGATGTACTATAAGCCAAGTCATTTGTACTACATCAGTAGGATTCTCACACTGTAAATAAGTTGTTTTACATAAAATAAATTAGAATTGCTGCTTATTGCATAGTTGCATATAATTTTAGAGATAGACATCCATAAAATGAACATCTGTTTCATAAATATTTTTTGGGAGGTAGAATAGGATGATGATCAAAATATGATATACACAAATGACCACCAAACAGTTAATTTCTCTATAAAAAATTTTTTTCTAAATTTTCGTCTTAGTTACTCCCAAAGTTTTACACTTTTCTATTTTGCAAAAGATGCTTAATGTTTATTGTTGGAGGTTACTGTGCAATATACAATGCAAGCATATACCGGTTTTTTGAATGGAGACAGATAATTCATCTATCATCTCTATAGAGTCAGACATTTTGTAGCACCACATTCTACAATAAATACATTGTATAACTCTTTAAGGTTTTTTACCATTTTAAGTAGCTTTCTTTTCAGACAAAGACAGAAAAACTAAACATCTGTTGAAAAGGTTTTTGAAAAGAATCTCAGCATGATTTTCAGTCATGCTTCAGATTTCTAAAAATGATACTCTATTTAATTTTTAGATTTAATACATAATTATATCGAAAGGAATCCACATAAGTTTAACAAATAAAATGTACAAGACAGTGTGAACCCAAAGCATGAAATATTGCCTTACTATTACATACAAAATTATAATAAAGCATGTTAAATAACAAACATAGTCCTTCCATATACATAAGATCATTGCGTCCACATGCAGCAGTGCGGATTTTGCTCAATTTGGCACTTTTAGCAGGAAAGGAGGAGTAGAGAGAAGTCCATTTTAGCCTATGCGAAATGTCTGTCAACTACATGCTGTAACTTAATAACATGCACAGGTTTTTAAAAGCAGGGAAAGGGAAAAAAAAAAAAAAAAGAACCATGGACAGTACACAGTTACTTTTGTTTTAAATTTTTGAATCTAAATAGAATCCATGATTAATTGCCAATCTGTATGCATAAAATAATTAATAAAGCATTTGCTATATGATTTAGTTAAAAAATAATGACTCATTTATGAAAACTTTACACCCATAGGCATGTGGTGCATGCATCACATGCTCTAAGACAAAGCCCCTGCATTTCAGTATTCTCATAATCCAGTTATTAAATCTGATTTTAAATTTAGCAGTCAACTGTTTAACTTAAGAAGCGGTTCAGAGGCAGCTTTCAATAAAATAATGACACTACTTGCAAATAAAACGGTCAATGTATTTGGTTTGGATACTAAATAGTTTTCTAGAAATTCTCACATAATTTTGTGATGCACACCAGCATTCAAAAGCTCAAGAAATACTCCTAATTTATCAGAATGTACTTTTCATAATAAAGAATTATGCTTTCCAAGAATGTTACCATCTAAAATTATGGCATATATTAGCGACTGTTTACCTGCGATAGAAAAGAAAAAACCCTAATTGGTGATTCTCAGGGTATATAGCTTACCTAGTTTTATAACTTTCCAAACTCATTTAAAAAAAGCTTCTTTTTAAACTTCCTTTACATTTCTCTCTCTCTCTCTCTATATATATACAGTACACAGTCCGTAATCAGGACTCGTCGGGACTTCGGCGATTTCGGATTAGGGGTTTTTCCGTATTATAGATCATCAGTTTAAATCTGGTAAGATGGCATGCAGAAATTATACAATTAAAAATATGAAATAAAGAACAATTATCATTTAAAGGGTATCAAAATTTAAAAAAAAGCTTAATATTTATTGTGTTTACTTTATTAAACATTTCTTTCAATGTAAGTTGTTTAAGATTTTTTCTAGATGCTTCCATAAATTCAATTCAAAAAGTTCCTTTTTCTTGTGTCATATATAGTGGACTTTCCAATGCCATACTTCTCGCATAAATTTCGAGACGGATAGGCCTTTATCCATTTTTTAGCAGCAATTCCACTTTTTGTTTAATGGACATCGAAACATGCTTTCGCTTTGTAGATCCTTTGGCAGCTCCGGAATTGGAAACTCTTTTTGACATAATCGAAAGTTCAAGTTTAATTTTTATAAAATTGTTCTAACAGTCTGCAAAAAAATAAGCCGAATCCAATTAGAAGATTAAGGAACAACGCAATCTGCAACATTAACTGAAATGCCTGAGATAATTTTAGCCTAGCTTATACCGTCCGTTATACATTAAACGCGCATGCGTAAACGCATATGCGCATAAAATTTGTAGCTTTGAGGTCTGGATAATTCGATCATTCCGGATTATGGACGTCCGGATTACAAACTTTGACTACTGAATTTAATATCACAAATTTATTATATCATGTCTCTCTCATGTTTTTCTAACCTTACACTTATTAAACTATGAAATACTGAGTTATAATACATTTTAGTTCATCACAAGAAATATTTTTGTGTGTGCATTTAGTTGTTACCTCTTTTTGCATGCTATTTGTCATGTACTCGATAGCTGAACGGTTCTCACTAAATGTCTGCAGCCTAGAAAGTTGTAGGATCAGAACCACTAAAACTATTCTTTGTTGCCTGCTAAATCACCAGTCTTTGGCCAATTACTGCACTTAAAATGTGTTTTATTTATGTCAGATAGCAGATCTCAATTTGTTTTAAAGTTATATTTATATTTTTGATTGAAATATTTTTCCTAGTTGCTAATTTCCTAGTCCTAGTTACTTATTCAAGAGAACACAATTCCCAGGACAAAATGGCAGAGCCATTCCCCGAGAATAAAGGGTAAAACCTCCGTCACTGACGAGAAACGAAATTCCATAAAAAAGGCAGTTGGTTTCTGAATTGAAAAGTCCCATATTACAAAGAAGTACTCACTCTATACATAGAATGTTCTGTTTCGTTTATAAAGAACAAATAATATAAATTAAAATTATTTTTGCCAGCATAATTTCTGTTCAAGTAAAATTTATGATGAACATATAATTTATATTTGGTGTGGTAGTGTGGTGTGGTGTATTTAATTATGGCAAAGCACACTAGGGCTATCTGCCTTAAGGGAGGGATGCCTTTGTGGAGGACGTTTTAAGGGAAACTGGCTCGTATACACGTTACACATGGGGAAAACCACAAATACACCCATGCAGCCGGCCCGTTCGCGGGATTCGAACCTCGAACCGAACTACCAGTATTCAGTGACGTTACCGCTCGGCCGCTGGTGGGCCCGTTGTTTAGAAATACCGAGGTTTTAAAAGTTGTTGCATGAGAGGTAGGAAGAGTTGTTTTCTACCGAAAAAGAAATGTAAAAGGAAAAAAAGGAAGTAAATTACAGCTTGCCAACTGCGGGGACCGGACCGAGTTGCGTTGCGGGTTCTCTTCGTGATATTTGTCAGAGATTATGATGGAAGAACTGGGTTAAGTCTTCCGTTTTCCCTGAAAAGTTGCTCCTCGGAGAATTTGGTTTCGTCGCTTTTTTTTTTTTTTTTTTTTTGTGTGTGTGTGTGTGTGTTCTTGTTAAAGAATTTCATAAATGGTTATTGGATTCGTCGCAGCACATCAAAATAATAATAATAATAATGTGGACTTCCTAATGTCCCTTATCCGGATTGAAAGTATTGCTCCCAGTTGTCCGAAAATGGAACTTCTAGCTGCAGGAAAAAAACCAAAGTAAGAAGGATTATGTCTGACAAGTTTGCGACCCCTGATATATTCTTTCAGACGGCTTGAGAACTGTGTAATTTTTGATGAGAGAATTAGTCATCGACTAAAAGGCCGAAAATAACGGAAAGCACGATCATTTCTATTTCCGTATTCCCTGTTCTTCTTGAGAACTAAGTGATCAGCTCAAGTTATTAGATGTCATGCATCCTATTTACGAAGATCTGGAAAAGAACGTGCTTATTGTCTAGGAGAATTTCCGACAAGGGCATTTCAATTTCATTTATGGACTCCCGTGTGTTCTGAACCTGTGAGCGATTTATTTTTCCTTGCTTTTTCTTTATTATTTGATTATTAAGATTTCGAAGGGTTAAATTTTGAGGAAAATGAAAATGTGAAATGTTACTTTTTATTTAATTAATAATTGAGGAAATGACTTTGTAAAATTCAATTGTTATATATTTTGCCTTAAATTAAGTTAATAATAAATTGCTAAATATTAGAAGCTGAACTATTTTCTGTGTTACTTGGGAGTGAAATTTGTACGTCCCTCAATTTCAGTAACTAAATAAGTTTTAGTGTTTAGTGATAACTAAATAATTATGCTAGAGCACATTACTAATAATTAAGGCAGAATATTGGTCATTATCCAGAATGCCAAATGTAAAACTGTGAGTAATTTTAATATAATGTTTGTGTAGGGGTAGTGTGGCTAGCTATCTTAATGACTCCCGACTGATCTTTGATCCTTCATTAATAAATGAGTTTTAGTTGTAATTAGCCCAAACGGCATTAGCACAGAACTATTAATTTCGTTTTGGTATTTTGCATCGAAAACTTTAAATGTCTGTTTCACTTTTCAAATTGTTACCACCAAATATTATTGCCCTGTGTTATATTTAAAGAAATGAAATAATGAAGAATCTGCATAATGTCTGTATGTTTCTAGCATTGTGATAAAACAACGGTACCTAGAACCATCAAATTTTTGAATAATGTAATCCTCCACCAAAAATGGGCATCTGGAAGCCCTAATTTGGAATTTGTTTTATTATCGATTTCATACTTTGTAAGACTTTAACGAATTTTTCATTAACAAACTCAACGATTTCAAAGCGAGCAATGGGAACACTTAGCGAGAAAAAAAAAAAAAAAAAAAAAAAAAAAAAACATTTTTATCTCCAGTGCGTGAGAGTGTGTATAGGAAATTCTAAAGATATGCTCACTTTAAAATCATTTTGCAATATTGCTGTTGAGTTGAACTTTATGGTTTAAATGCGAAGAACATGATATTTAATAAATAAAGGTAACACACAAATCGTTAAAAAAAGGCCCCTTTGGGCATAATGTAAAATCTGAAAGCTTTCAGATTTTTTTTCCATTATTATTATGTTTATTTAAGTGATTTATTCTTGTCACCTTTGTTATCCTTACGGAAAAAATGGATTCTTTCTAATCGAACCTGAGGAGAAAAGTTATATATGAGATGTAGTTGGGAAATTAATTTTATGTGTATTTTAAATATACAATCGGTTTATTAATTTGATTTCAATTTGCTTGTATTTAAATAAAAAGAGCTTGTGGCTATCTCTAGAGTTTAGGAATTGTTGTACTGATATTTACGTGTTCTCAGGATAGTCAGAGGATATAGCATTATTCTGATGAGAGAGAGCATTTGTAGAATTTGAGACAGAATTGCATTTTTTGATAAATAATCTTTTGATTTTACACCAAAACACATGTTTGAGCTTTGAAGTAATATAATTTCTTTTACAATGTTGATAATTTATGTGTTTTGGTTTAACTACAATCACCAGCCTCTAGATGAAGATTTATATGAGCTTATTTTAATTTATGTGTCCATCACCAGCTGTCTCAGTGATTCAACAATAAGGTTCAAATTAAATATTCAAACAACATTTTAAAGTTTAACTTCTTTTTTTCTATGTAACACTATCTTTCAACAAGATAATGCATGACCACATGCCGGTTGCCTACGGTATCCTATTTTATTTCAATACAGAAGATGTTTGACTCTTTGACTGTTGCCTTGGCCAGCACATTCTTCAAATCTCTCACTCACTGAGAACATCTGGTTGAAGTTGAAAAGAGATAAGCACACAACCACTATGATTAATGAAGAGTGGAAGTCGCTTGGAATAAAATACCCATACCTGTCATCCAAGCTCAGTTTGACTCAATATCTAGCCATATTACAGTTGTCATAGCTACCTGAGGTGTTAGCTCTATGTACTGAATTCTGCATGGTGTGTACCCCCAACCCCCTGCAAATTTAATCATGTTTCCCCCTCATCATACTCTATAAGTGCAAAAAATAAAATTCTGATGTGTACTTTCCTTCCTAATGTAGCAATTTCAATGGCTAGCAGTGTATTTCAAATGTGTGGCTGCACTTATATCAGCATATATTTTCTACATTAAATTTTGATTTATATTACAATAGACATTTAAAGTATTCCCACCTGCGGGTAACACATCATTATTAAAGACATTCACTGAAACCACAATTTAATGTAATTTTAATTTAAATATACTTTTTATTTGATTCTGCTAGATTCTTAAATACAGGTCTGACTGTATGTACTCATACCATAAATTTAAGCTGTTTTTATACAATTATAATTATTGAGTTTCACACAACAGCTGTTTCACATTAAATAAATGTTATGCACAATATAAAACCTGCCACACTTACAACATAATCGCAAAGAAGAATAACGCCTCCCCGACGAACCATTTCTAAATTACAAGGTACAAAACACTTTTTTTGTTGAGTTGACTGCCTAAAAAGAATAAATAAATAAATAAATAAAGTTTATTCACATTCTTAAATACTGAACATGAGAGTTTATTCTACATTTTTTCAGAGATTTCATTTTAAAACTAAAATAAAACTCTAGAAAAATTTATGCATTAACATATTACATAAATTTTTTATAAACAATTTTTTACACATAAACTTTACTTAGAACAACAAAAATATCATAATTATACATACTAACAGCATGATACTTACATGGAAATAGGTGTGGGCTCATCAGCTATATTTTTCTTGACAAGGATGTACAATTTTTGACCAAAAGAGGCGACTATCATAGTTCAAAATAGTTAAAACATTACACCACTGAACAACAATTGTAGGATAAAATGGTGCTAGTTTAAGAAACATAGACTCAATTTCTGAGATACTGTAGAAAGCTACTGATTTTGAAGATTGATTATTTTGGCAGACATCTTCCTTCACAATATGCATAGCAGATGCTGTCACTGTTCGAAATATGCCTAAAATATCACAAAATAATTATTATATTTCATGTCATTTTCCAAATATATATACAAGGTGATTCACTGGCGTGTATACATACATATATACAGTACAAAGTCAAAAATCCAGACGTCCATTATCCGGAATGATCTAAAATCCGGACCTCAAAGCCACAGACATTTTTTTTTTTTTTTTTAATTAATGCTTTAAGCATGCGCATTTGATTTTTCTTTCCAGAATAAAACATGTGGAGATTTTCACTTAAAAATTCCGATTCTTAATTTCACTTAGTCACTAAATAAAATACCTCGTTATGGAAAACAATTAGGTAAGCATAAATTTGTGAGATTAATAATTTGGCTTCGTAGCTGAGTATCTACTTGGCATACATCTCAAACCGAAACATTCACGTATTTTATTATTTTATATACGTGAAGTGTTTCGGCCTGACGCCGGCCTGGCGAATCATTATTTTTTATATTTTGCTTCTCATGCTGTGATGTCTAAACTTTTTTTTAATTAGCAATTGAATAACAAGAGTATGGCAACCATTTATACTAGCATTACGCTTGGCGATGATTATAGATTTTTAAATGCTCTAAGAAATGTTGACGAGGAAAATTCAACAAAAATTTCTTTTCATATGCTAAAAATAGATTTTGTTAATGAAACTCATAGGCCAAAAGATTACATTTAGTACTATTTAAATTAAGAAAAACTGATATATGTTATTCACCATAAACCCAGAAGCGGCGACAGAATATGTCGACAACGGACGGCAGAATTTAAGGAAGATTAAATTTTTGGAATTTGGGGAAGCACCGAGCGGCAAAATTAAGGAATGAGAAGTTTTTATGATTTAGGGAAAGCACTGGGATCCAAAGTTTAGGCACAGTGAAAATTTAGAACTTAGGAAAGCGCTTTGTAGCAGAATTTAGGACCCGTAGAGACTTCACCAGGCGGAATCGAGCGTCGGCCCTAGATAAAGCCGTAAGTATGTGTGGGAGTTTATTTATTCAGGACCTCGGATTAGTTCGAAGCATGTGCAAGAAATAAACGAAGGTATAGTAAATAACTAAACAAATACAATTCAGGCTTAATTCAGTACGCAATAGGAGCAAGACAAAATTTAGCGAAACAGCTTGGCGTTCGTTGCCAATCTTGTGATACCCAGCCAGTAATGTATAACGGACACTAATAAGCTAGACTAAAATTATCTTTACTGATTCTAAGGCATTTCAATTAATGTAGCAGACTGCGCAGCTTCCTGATCTTCTAATTTGATCCAACTTATTATTTTTTGCAGACTGTTATTATTACGGCAATTTTATAAAACTAAGCTTAAATTTTCGATTATGCCGAAACGAGTTTCCAATTCTGGAGTTGCCAAAGGATCTACATAGCGAAACCATGTTTCGATGTCCACTAAACAAAAAGTGGAATTGCTTCAAAAAAAAATGGATAAAGGCTTCGTTAATATGCAAAGCTTAGTACTGAAAACGGAAAAAGAAAAAGAATTTTTATTTTTTTGGGCTCTAAAACTCAAAGGGTTTATGGAACAAAAATAACTTTTTTTCAAAAAATATGGTCTTTTTTTGGTAGATAGGTGGCGCTCTTGATGCGCGCCGATGAAAAATATTCACTTGACGCTTGAACATGAAGAATGACGCATGTCATATTTATTTGATGCTTGATTATGTTTCATGGCCGCTATAGGCGGAAGTAATATAAGTATATATTAAGTTTATCGTTAATAAATGTTATTTCTATGTTCTGTGAAATCTTGAAGTTTTGATTTGAAATTCTAATGCTCTCCCAACCTTGACTCCTGAAACGAAACGATCTTTGAATTTATGACTCATGAAGAGAGACACCACATACATTTTTGGTGTCTGAAACCCGCGAAAAGGGGAATTACCTTTTGAAAGGTAAGAATTTTGATTTATTTGTTCTTGGTATCGATCTTTGAAAACGAAACATAATGGATGATTTAGCAAAAGAGAAAAAGAAACGTGCTATTGTACGTAGTAAAGTTACTACACTTCTAAATAAACTTGAGAAATTATTATCGGAAGAATTAAGTAAAGAACATCTAGAAGATCTTAAATTCATCATATGAATTGTTAATTGAATACCATGAGAAACTTAAAACTCTTGACTCAAAGATCGATGCTCTCATAATTGATGAAAAAGAATATGATAACGAACTACTTGTATGTGAAGAGTATGATGAAAAAATTATAACGTTTAAAGCTAAGATTGTTAGTAAAGTAAAGAAAATTAACAGTAATGAAGTTGTTGAAAGAAGTATAATTACAACTAGTAATGGTATTAGTAGTACTCTGAATGGTAATAATGTTGTTACAAGTAGTGCTTCAGTAAAGTTACCTAAATTAAATATTGAAAAATTTGCTGGTGATCCCAGTAAATGGCTCGAATTCTTTAATTCGTATGATAATGCTATTCATTCTAATCCAAGTTTATCTAAAATAGATAAGTTTACATATTTGAAAAGTTTATTATCTGGTTCAGCATATAATTGTGTTTCTGGTTATGCTTTATCTGAAGAAAATTATGATCTATGCATTAAAAGTTTAGAAGAGAGGTTTGGTCGTAAAGATGTTATTATATCAAAATTCATGCAGATGTTGTTACAGTTAGAACCAGTTAAAAGTTCTTCAAATGTTTTTGAGTTAAGAAAGCTCTATGATCAGTTACAAATCTGCGTTAGAAATTTAAGTAGTTTAGATGTTACTAGCGGTTCATACGGACAGTTATTGAACCCAATAATTCTTAAATTGTTACCTGAAGATTTAGCTCTTGAATTCCATAGAAAAAGAACATCTAACCAAAATATAGAAGTAAGTGAATTAATAGAAACTGAATGCCGAGAAGCAAGTATTTTGATTAATAGCTCAAAAGGTAATAAATACACAGGGGTTAATCCTAAACAAGGGTTCAAAAAATTATAAAGTCAAATCACAAGCTTCTGCTTTTAACACATCGGTAAAAATGTTTTGCATATTCTGCAAATCAAACGAACATACATCTGCCGGATGTTTGAAATTTTCCGACGAACAAAAACGAAACAAATTAAAACATGAAGGTCGCTGTTACAGATGCTTTCTAAAATCACATTTGTCGGTCGTTTTTGTCGGTCAAAAATACAACCATGCGAAAATTGTAACGAGAAAAATCATAATAAACTTTTCTGCCGTTTGAAATCGAAAGAAATGGAAGATGTTAACTCCGCAGATACGCAAAATAAAACTTTAGTATCTACTTCCCACTGTAACACTCTAAAACCTGAAAATAGTGTGCTTTTACAGACATGTTCTGTTATTGCTCAAAGCAAAAATAAATCGAGAATCGTAAGATTATTAATTGATTCAGGTAGTGAACGAAACTTCATCACCCACAAGTTAGCGCGCGATTTAGAATTGCAAGTCATTAGAAAAGAATTTCTAACAATTTATTCGTTTGGAAATCAGCGCGGTAACTCGCAAACTCGCAAGAATTTGATGTATATAGTCTAAAAATAAAAAATAAAAACGATGATCGCTGCCTTGTTGTAGAAGCTATAGGGATAGAATTAATATCATCAATAGAATTCCAGGCGCCATCAACATGTCAAAACATTAAAGAATTTATGACTAAAAAGGGTTTGGAACTTTCGGATACAAGTCCCGTTAATGAGAACATAAATATTCTGCTTGGCGCGGAGCATTTCTGGTATATACAAACAGGAAGTAATTCAATGATAAATGATGGTTTGTTTATAGTACCGACCATATTTGGATACACAGTGATGGGTAAAGTAAAAAATAATAATACTCGAATTAATGCGTTGTTTTTATCTGCCGTTGAAGGAAACACATTTGATTTGCAGTCATTTTGGAAATTGGATTCGATAGGAATTGAAAATGAAAACAAAACATTTTCGGAAACTGATTTGGATACTATTAAGCATTTTAACGACAGTTTAAAATTTAATAACGGCAGGTACGAAACAAAACTCTTTTGGAAGGACAATAAATCACAACTCGCTGATAATTTTTTCGTTGCTAAACAACGATTTCTAGGACTAAAGCATAAATTAAAGGGAAATGATTTCCTATATAATGAATATGATAATATAATTAGAGAACAAGTTGAAAGGGGGATTGTTGAACAATGTAAGTTTGTTGAAAATGAACCTAACTGTTATTATATGCCTCATAGGCCCGTTATACGTGAAGGAAAAGTAACAACAAGAATAAGAATAGTTTATGATGCCTCTTCTAAGTCTGAAGGAGCTAAATCGTTAAATGAATGTTTGATATCAGGCCCTAATTTAAATCCTAACTTGTTGGATATAATTTTAAAATTTCGCGTACATAAAGTTGCATTTTGTGCAGACATAGAGAAGGCTTTTCACCAAATTCAAATTGATAGTGAAGATAGAAATTTTTTAAGGTTCTTGTGGTTTGATCATTCTTACGACAATAGTGACAATAGTTTAGGCTTTAAGGTTTTCCGAATGTGCCGAGTGCCGTTTGGAATGACAACAAGTCCGTTTATTTTGTCCGCCACTATCAAACATCATATTAAGGGTTATGAAAAGAAATATAGCAAAGCTGTTGACATGTTAAATAAGTCCTTATATGTTGATGACCTTATCCATGGAGCAGACTCCGTTGAAGAAGTTTTCTCATTATCAACTGATGCAGTTAAAATTCTTCAAGACGCTGGTATGAACTTAAGAAAATTTGAATCAAATTCCGTATCTTTAAAAAATCATTGGCAAGATATTGGTTTAATTAATAAGGAAGATAATTTGGATAAGAAAACG